TGTATTTTCATCTTCATTTGCCAGACCCTCACTTTCCAGAGCCCCAGACCTGTTGCATAAGGGCAGCTGGGTAGTGAGGGAGGCCTGGAGGGAATTCACCTGCCACCACTAGCAGGGACCTGTTTCCCTTCCCCTTTCCGAGGTGGCTATGTAACAAACATTTACTTGTATGTAGCCTAACTGAACCACTCTAATATATACAACTCACCCTCATTTTCCCAGATCAAGAGCCTATTCTTCAATGAGTTCACAACTGTGCAGCATCTAAGGCTTAAAAACCTCTGTATTGAGCATGTTCTGATCTCACTGGTAATTAATAGCACAAGTTGTTAATAATTGTGTATTTGGAAGCATAGTTATTAAAATAAGTCAGAAGTATTCCATTCTAGAATATTTTTTCAAATAAATAAGCAGAAATGACTTCGCTATCAAGTGAAGACACACTTCAGAGTTAAGAGTAATATAAATGAATTATCAAAGCAGCTAAGACTAGATGGTAGTTTATCTGTAAAACAACTGGCTGCAGTATCCTCAAGCTGAATCCACTTGGTTTTGCTATTGTGCAGTTATCAATAACCATTCCACCTACCTAAAGCTCTGTTGAAAAACTTTCACAAGGCTTAGACAGTACCAGACAATCACAAATAGTGTGCTAATTAGCACATCAACTTAAAGGACATGGACTTGTAATGTGTTCAATGTACTGAAAACAACAGGAAGTTCATTAATATATTAATTTATTTAATTATTTCCATTTTAGTTCAATTGAACATCAGAGCAGACAACTTTTTGCTTTGTGACAATGCAGGGAATTTTTGAAACACTATTTCCATATTCTACAATGTTTGAAAAATCAGATTATGGTTTCAACCATATGATTGTATAACTTGCCAGTGAAGAGGCTGCAGTTAGGAACTCAGCCTGGTGCTTTAGTATAGTTTTTATCTTCATACATGCTTTTCACTTAATATGTTTAAAAAACAGCTTTAGAAGAAAACATGATTTTAATTCATGTTATAAATGTCATCACACTTGGGTTGCTAGAGACATCACTTAGTACAATAGGTGTTTCTGAAGATCTCATTCTATTGAGAGTTCACAATATTAGATTTTAAACTAGGCACAGACCACCTAAGTCTTGTCTCTAGACAAAATATATTCCCTGAAATTTGAAGTATAATATATACACAGGTTCCAATACAAATGTTGGAGGAATTTTCATACAAAATGTAACCATGATGTAGTGGACAATTTTTATATTAATGCATCCTTCATCTCAACCAGATATATTACTCAAATTTTATTCTGTTTCCCTAGGAAATATTTTGTTGTCCATTACATCACAATAGGATATTTTTTTAAAAAGTTGATTGAGAACAATTGAACTACATCATGATGTTAAGTTTTAGACAAATTTCTTGATTTCATCATAAAGTACTAATACAAAAGCTCCGCCCATGCCTCTCAACACATTCGACCAGGCACCTTTGAAGAACGCTTTGGATCCTTCATCTTTAGCTATCTTCCTCCAGCAATCAATTGTGCCCTTGTACATAATGTCAGCTGTGGAAACAGACATAAAGGTCAGAAGGTTTGAAGTTATACAGCAAGTCTGTTTCAACTTTCATATATTTAAAACAAGGAATAAGCAAACTATACCCAAGAATTTAACATTAAGTAATCAATTCATTAAAAGTAATGTCAGTTCTCCACACGGAAATCAAATCAACTCTCACCCTCTTAAGTGAACATGAATAACCAGCAGTGTGTTTCCCATAGCTTTTTTTTTAAGGATTACAATAAGGTCATTAGTTTTCCACAAAACAAGAAATACCCAGCATCTCCCATCATATCTCAATGAAGAGATACTTTCTGCTTCCAGAACACCACAGAGGCACTTATTCTTACCTCCCTTTCGGCCAGACTGCATCATCATCCTACGTCGCACAGTATCAAAAGGGTAAGAAACCAGCCCTGCTACTGCAGTGACAGACTGGGCAATCATCCAGCTCACTACAATATGCACATTCTTTGGATCAGGCAACATACCTGTCATCAAGAACAAGGGATCAGAGTCAGTACAGAGGCAAAGGGTTGTGTGAAAGATGGCTGTGGAAGGAATAATCACCCACCAACCCAGGAGTCACACCAAGTCAACTCAATCAAGCCTGGAATTTCTCCCTTCATCCATATTTGACTACTAACAGGTGCTATGAGTGAAACAAGCTTACAAGGACTGTTGGATTTTGGAATCTAAGAACTCCTCATGCTCCCTGACCAAAAGGTCCTGCAGAACCCTCCCAGGCTTGTGTCCTCAGCTGCAATGAATAACAAGCCCATCTGTACAAGCCTTAAGACAGAGAAAGAAACTGGAAAGTGTCTGAAAACACTGCAAACCCAAGGCTTCTGCTCAGAGTAGCAAGTTACGGAGGTGGGAATACATTTCAGAAACACCTGTGCTTATTCTAGCACTAGCACCCTGAAGTGGTGCTGAGCCAAGCCCTGCTTGTCCTTGTACCCAAGTGCCCTAGACTGCCTTCACTCAATCAATCTTCCCTTGTAGTCACTTCTCCACACACTTCTTACCCTTGGCCGTGTCGTAAACCCCAAAATAGGCTGCTCTGTAGATGATGATGCCCTGGACAGACACACTGAATCCTTGGTACAGGCCCTTCAAGCCATCAGACTTGAAGATCTTGACAATGCAGTCGCCCAGCCCAGTGAACTCCCTCTCACTGGCTCCTTTGCCCACATCAGCAGCCAGCCGGGTCCTGGCGAAATCCAGCGGGTAGACAAAGCAGAGGGAGGTGGCTCCCGCAGCACCCCCGGACGCCAGGTTCCCCGCAAAGTAGCGCCAGAACTGCTTGTGCCTGTCCACTCCCCCCAGGAAGATCTGCTTGTACTTGTCCTTGAAGGCGAAGTTGAGGGCCTGGGTGGGGAAGTACCGGATGACATTGGCCAGGTTGCCTCTCCAGAAGGAGATGATGCCTTGCTCCTTGGGGATGCGGACTATGCAGTCCATGATGCCCTTGTACTGCTTCTCTGCCGTGATCTGTTTGCTGGCATGTTGGACCTGTAGGGAAGCGCAGGAGGAGGGATGGGAGGGTAGAGAGGGACGCTGCAGGGGTGACCCCGCACGGCGGCC